GAGTTGATAAAGGCCCTAAAGGGTTTAAAGGGTGGACGCAAAAGGGGGGCGGTAAACAAAAAAAGGGTAAACCATTGGATTTTTGGTTTATCGGCCTCCCCAGTGTTAATGAGAAGGTGGAAAACCTCAGCCCCCTCCCCCCATAATGGAAAGGGATGCAAGGGCGGGACGGGTAATAAAAAAAAGGGGGATGGAAACTCCCGGAAAAAATAAACCTTAAAATAAGGGGAACTAGCAGGAAAATTAAAGGCAAAATTTTTTTAAAACCCCTCCCAAACAGGACAATTTTTAAATGACCCAGTTCAAAAAGGCCCCAACTGGGAAAGATGCTCGCGGGACCTGGTATCCCAAACCCCATGCAGAGATTATTACGAAGCCCAAAAAAAAAGGGTTCATCTGGGAAAGCAGTGACCATAACATAAATTTCTTTTATTTTTAGCTGTAAACAGCGAGCCCTTTTACGGGAAAAAATAAAAAAAACCTAAAACTTTAAGAAGCAATTTTTTTAAAGGCGAGAATGCTCCCCAAAAGACTTAGACTGGGGGGTGAATTTTGGGGCATGGGATGACAAAACCCAAAAAATGGGATTTTTCTTCAAAAAGACGTATGTGACCACACTGCAAAAAAAATTTTCCCATGGGAAAAACCGTAAAAAAAAGGCAAAAAAATCCAACCATGTGGCTTGGGCCCCAAAGTTCCAAAAAGCGATAAAAAAAGAAAAAAGCTTTTTTTACATATAAAAATAAAGGGAACGCGATCATCTTTTACACTTTACAAAGAAAAAACCCGAAAATCAATAAAAAAACCAGTCAAAAACTAAAAAACAAACACAGAAAGAATCGGGGACGACCCCAAAACTTTTCCCTTTCCAATCTAAAATATAAAAAAGGGCCGGGTTCCCAGCATAGGCCCCTTTTAGAAACATCTAGGGGGGGGGGACAAAGAGAAGGACAATGTATGAATTCCTTCTTCAGCTCTGTGTATAACAAGGAGTATGGGGGGGCTCTTGGCCATAATGAGCTTTTAATGGAACCGTCCCAGTCTGCGCTGAGTACTTGCTGTTTGAGGATCATACCTCTTCCCCATGCGAACACCAGACAACAGACACCACAGATTTGAAGTAAACCACGAAAGTAAGTGCTACTTTATTTGAACACAGATACAAGATAAATACAACACTGGTGTATCAACTCCCCCCTCCCTGCCTAACGACACAGGGCGGGGCATATACTACATTTTAGTAAGATGAGACACACAGCTATCTTCAAACTTCACACCCAGCCGGACAGTCCCATCAGGAAGGAGAGGGCTGCTGCAGACACCCTCCGACTAAGCCTCATTACTTAAACACCATACTCCCCCCCTCCATAATAGTTTGCTCCCAAGCATGACACACAATAGACCAATGGGGTATGGCAACCACATACACACAAAACAATCCACAACCCCACACCAGCCATATCTTCCTAGATATGTGAAGATAAGATATTATGAGAGCCTTCAATAATTTTTAATATTATGTGAGAAACTTGCTGATAGGGGTTCTCAATTCCTGTAACTTATTTTCCCATCTACATTGCATAGCACCATCAACACCCCCCTTCGATGTTTTCCTGGAAGAGATTTATGACAGTAAGAGCCAACTGGCGAATAATCCCTGGAGGCGTCATTCTAACACCATCCTAGGAGATGATGTTCATAATTAGTCCTAGGGAACTGAATTCAGAGGAGGTACCGCTTCGCTGACATTGGTCTATCCTAAATTCCATCAGATGAGCACAGTTTGGCCAATGTCTTTCACAAATCACAAGAGCCCCCCATTGAAGAGAAATAGCCAAAAAACAGAACCACAATTGAAAGGAGTGTGAACCTACCTGAAATGGAGGGCGGGAGGGGTATAAGATATCCCATTGCTCACATTTCTGCCTCTTTGCCCCCATCTTGCCTCTTTGGAGAACCCAGTCATCAGGATGATCTAGTGTAATAGTATTATTCTATGTTTCTTTCCTGTAACATTCTTTCCTGTAGTCTCTTTGTATCAGGTTGACATTTCTTTCCTGTGTCTCTTTGTAATCGGTGACATTCTTTCTATGTAGTCTCTTTGTAGTGGTGACAGTCTTTCCTGTAGTCTCTTTGTATCGTTGGACATTCTTTCCTGTCGTCGTCTCTGTATCTGGTGACCATTCATTCCATGTTGTCACTTTGTTCAACGGCTGACTTTCTTTCCTGTAGTCTGCTTTGTTTCGGTGACATTTCTGTGCCAGTAGGTCTGCTCGATTGTATAGGTGACATTTCCTACCTGGAGTCTCTTTGTATTGGTAACATTTCTGTCTGTAGTTCTCTCTGTATCGGTGACATTCCTTCCTGTAGTCCTCTTTGTATCGGTGGACATTCTTTTCCTGTAGTCTATTTGTATCGGAGATTATTCCTTCCCGTAGTCTCTATTGTATCAGGTGGACATTCTATTCATGTATGTGCTATCTGTATCGTAGCGTTTGACATTCTTTCCTGTAAGTCTCTCTTGTATCGGTGTACATTCTTTCCTGTAGTCTCTTTGTGAGCGGGTGACATTCTTTTCTGTTGTCTCTTTGTATCGAGTGACATTTTTTCTGTAGTCGCTTTGTATCGGTGACACTTTTCCTGTAGTCTCTTTGTATCGGTGACATTCTTTCCTGTAGTTCTTTGTTTCGGTGACATTTTTCCTGTAGCTCTCTTTGTATCGGTGACATTCTTCCTGTCCTGTAGTCTTTGTATTTGGTATAACTGTCGTGGTATTTGCATTGTTGTATTACTACTTTGTAGAGTGTTTATACACGGCTTAGCATTATATTTTTGTTTTATTCCATTCATAGCAGGCTTATTTTCTGTGTATGTTATAATTAAGATCTTAGTATTTTCCAAGTGTAAATCCTTTGGTATAAACAATATTGGTAATATCTGGATGGGGTTTGGCTGAATTTCCTGGTATAGACAAAAGGTTATTATCACTGTGATTACATTTACTTAGCTTAGATAGAACCAAAGTGAATAAGTGCCGGAGATGTCAAAACCCTACCGCCGAAACAATGGAGCGAGTTCTGAACGTTTAGGTTAAATGTTACTTCTGGTGTGGAAGTACAGAGAATTATTTTACATGTCTTTCTTGTTTTCATGTCTATCTTCCATGGTTGTGCTGTAGATCCCTAGACTATGTAAGTGCTGTTGTTACAATGGTCCATTGTTACCTTTTTTTTTTTACTAACACTTTGAGAGATGTTATGAACAGGAAAACTGACAAAAATTGTAGTGAGAGTGAATGAGGAAACATCCTAACTGCTGGGTGCAGCTATTGCAGGGTGTGTGATTGGGGATGAAAGGGATCTGACGGGCTCTGGAGGAGGGAAAAAAAAAGAGGATCTGGCCAATCTCCCTAAAAGCAGGTCCATTTACCCCCCCAATGAGATAGGTCAAGACGCTTCCCAATTTTTGCGATTGAAATGCCCCTGTGGGCCCAAAAATCACACAAATGATTTGTTTGTATGGACTGCCCTCTGTAATCTACTAACTGTGGATTGTAAGCGTGTAGTTAGATCTGTGAAAAAAACAGCTTATTGTAACTACTACACCCCTAGCATGTCAGGAATGGGGTTTTGACCAGAGGTGTGTGGACTGACAAGGGAAATGAGGCTTCAGATATGGTATAAAACAATATAATTTATTAAGACTAACAATACAAAACGCAGTGCAATACTAAAACAAACACAGTGCAAACAAACCCAAAACCCAAACCCCCACAGATAACAATCATACAATAAAGAGTTCACAGGCGGCCGGGTCAGTACAAAGGGGGTTTACCGGGAACGGTGGGAGGTGGACGGGGTCACAAGCTGGGTTCTTTTACTCTCAGCAGTGTTGACAGAGGGTCGGGCAGAGAATGGTCAGGGTCAAAGGGGGGGATCAAGCAGGAGAAGTCCGCAGAGGTCAGGATCAGGCAGGCTCGGCAAAAAGTCAGACAGGAAAAGAATAAGGATTAAGATACAGGGGCCCTTTTTGGAAAACAACACCACGGCCTTGATGTGAGTCGGGCCATTCCTTAAAAAAAACCCCCTGAAATTTCACTTCAGGTTTTTGGCTGTTGGGAGGGGTGAGTCTTGTTGCTGAGGCACCCCTCCCCGCCCGGTACTGCAGCCACAAACAGGGAGTCCCCCCATTTTGGCAATCCTTCCTGACCTGCAAGTAGCTGTATTCAATTACCCGCCCGCGGGCTCCCAAACACTCACATTCTGATATTTAAGTTTGTCAATCCTTCTTGGGGTAATTTGGAGCATTTAGGAAAAAAACGTCAGAATACTTTTAGAAAGGTCCACGGGGTTGAACTTGGGAAGTTCGGGGATCCCCAGGCTTTGAAGGAATAAGTCAAACAGGGAAAACATTAAAATTTGTTTGACAATAGTGAAAAGCGCAACGGTGGGGGGGGGTACCTTCCCCCAACATGGCCCGAGATTAGCTCCTCTGGGGGCAACTGCTTTTTCCCCCCTAGTGGTTGATTATGTCGTATTTCTGTGCCAAAGCGGTACATTTTTTTCAATGGAAATATGTTGTTTTTTTTTGTAGGCCTGTAAGTTTTAGGAAAAATCACTGAAAACTGTCCGAACAAGAGTTAGTAAAATCCCCGGGATGTTAAATTTGGAACCCCAAAAAACAAATAAATAATAAAGTAATTCAATAAAGAAAACAAACCCAAAAAAACTGAAATTTTAAATATAGCCCAAAAAATTTCACATCGCTGATTCAGTCGCAGAATCGTTTTTCAGTGTTGATGATGAATTTCCCCCACGAATCATTATCCTCAATTCTGCAAGTGGGTTGTAATTTTAAAAATAAATGTAAACCCCCGGGTGATATCAATAGCAGATCAATTATTCCAAAGTCTACATCATCGCGCCTTAAGAATGTGTCCTGGGAAATAGTTGATTTAATAGAGCTGCTAATACAATAGCCCAAAAATATCAAAAATTTGTGAAATTAAATATATAAGCACAATAATAGCGTTCACCCAAAAAATGAAATTAAAAAAAATAAACAATAATAGTAATCCAAAACCCCCCAAATATAATAATGTGGCAAAAACAATAAATATTGGATCCCAAATCAAGTCCATGAAATAAAGTCCATTAAAAAGCATATCTTTTCTTAATCATGAAGTTCTGGGGTCCTATAAACTTCCTTCACCAGTCCTGACCAGCGCCCGCACCCCTCAAAGTGCAAAACTCCCAGGACTGGGGAACAAACCCGCATTCTTTTATACTCAGCAGGTATGTTTAAAATCCGCAGCAATCTTTGTAATCACAACGACCCAATGAGCTCCCTAGGTACATGTGAAAAAAGAAAAAAAAACTCCCATAGCGAAAAAAGGTCAGAAAAAGTATTTCCAAAAGAATCCCCATAATAACCGCATACATTTGTCAGTACAGCAAAAGCCTTGTATATTAAAACATTCACGCAGCGTTATCACCGCTTCCTACACACACAGTGGGTTCCCAGCTTCAAAGATGACAAGGTTGTGGTCACATGTTTCCGGGGAAAAATACAGCGTGCATGATGAGTCACGCTGGGTCAACCCTAAAGGGTTTTGTCACACGATTTTTGCCAAAGGTGTGTCACGGCCCTTTAAGTGAGCTTTAAAAAAGCCCCTCGTTCTCATTGGTTATTATATTGGATCACCCATAAAAAAAATACACATACTCAAAAAGATTGGCTCAAAAGAAAACCAAAATCAAAGGGAACAAAACGATTCATCAGCGCCCTTTGTGTTTGATCAACAGAGGACCGCAAAATATGTTTTGTATTATTAACCCCTCCCCCCAGAGGATTTACCCCTTAAAGACCACGCCTTTTTTGCTACCAGCGCTGCCCCTAATTCAAAATGATAATTGCCCCGGTCATGCAATGCTGCACCCAAACTAAAATTTTACGTCCTTTTTTTCACACAAATAGAGCTTTCTTTCGGTGGTATTTGATCACCTGTGCACTTTTTATTTTTTGTGCTATAAACAAAAGACCAAACTTTTGAAGAAAAACTATATTTTTTACTTTCAGCTATAAAAAATATATAGAAACTCAAAGTTAGTTATAAATTAGGCCAAAATGTATTTTGCTCCATGTTTTTGGTGAAAAAATTCCAATAAGTGTATATTGATTGCTTTGTGTGATAGTTATAGTGTCTACAAACTATGGATAGATAATGGAATTTACACCATTTGTTTGCTATAAGCGCTGCGCTAGTTTTAAATGACAATTGCCCGGTCATGCAATACGGTAACATAAATAAATTTATGTCCTTTTTTCACACAAATAGAGCTTTCTTTTAGTGATATTTGATCACCTTGCACTTTTTATTTTTAACGCTATAAACAAAAAAAATTTTGAGAAAAAAATGTTTTTTGGAAAAAAAACAATATTTTCTTGTTTCTGTCATAAACAATATCTAAAAAAACTAAAATTGCTTCAAAAATTTAGGCCAAAATGTATTCTGCTCCATGTTCTTGGTTAAAAAAAATCCCAGTAAGTGTATATTGATTGCTTTGTGTGAAGGTTATAGCGTCTACAAACTATGGGAAGATACTGGAATTTACACAGCTTTTACTTTCTGACTGCTCATCGCATTTCTTGAGGTGCTAAAATACCAGGATAGTACAAACACCCCCAAATGACACCTTTTCGGAAAGTAGACACCCTAAGCTATCTGCTGAGAGGCATATTGAGTCCATGGAAGATTTATTTTATTTCCACAAGTTTCTGAAATTGACAAAAAGTTTTTTTATACAAAGTTGTCATTTAAATGATATTTGTCACACAAGCCATGGTATATGTGGAATTACACCCCAAAATACTTCTGCTACTTCTACCGAGTATGGGGATACCACACGTGTGAGACTTTTTTGGGAGCCTAGCCACATACGGGAGTCTTTTTCCAGTGACCACTTTGAAAGCCTGAAGGTGTGTAACTTCCTATTACACTTCCTCAATACCTATCACAGTTTCGGAGGCCCTGACATGCCAGGATAGAA